ATATTTTTCTATGGGGCTCTTGCCAGGGTTGCCAGTACAAAATGGCCCTGCTCAATCCGTTTTGGTAAGACTCTGTGCATGAGATCACTGCTCATTTTGGGACCCCCGATATGGCCTGGATAAGAAGTACATCTTGGATTAGCCAGACTCAGGTACCCTACTTACTTGAGTTTGTCCCTGGGGGAAGTTGCCTCTCCTCTGGGATGCTGGGTCTCCACCTTTGGGGTCCAGTCTGCAGGAACATGGAATTGCTCCGTGGTCACATGCAGCACACCCAAGGTGACTGGCAGTGGCCATAGAGGGTCACATGATCCACGGGGAGGATCAAAGGCCATGTACTGGGACAACGCTGTCACGGCAGGGGGCCTGCCTAACACTGACGGGGTCATCACTGAGCCTGACTGGTGTCCTCTCTGCCTGGAGAACCCTGTTTTCTTGGCATGGATGACTGCCTTGGATGGTGGGGACCTCAAAACTGGTTGTCATGAGGGTAGGATCTGGATAGGGGCCAGGGTGTGGGGGACAGGCCGGGATCCTGAGACATGAGGTCTGGGGAGCACAAGGGGGTGGCCTTAGGAGGCAGGATGGGACAGGGTCCCATTACTTCCAGGCTTCCGTGGTGCCCAGGACGACACACAAACCTCTGGACAAGTCTATACGGTTGGTGTAAATGACTCTTATCCCCTTTTTACTTGGGCTCAGAGAGGTGAGGTCACTTTCTCAAGATCAAACAGCCAGCAAATGACAGAGCTGGGATTTGAACCCCAGTCTGTCTGAATCCCCAGCTCCATGCTCCTAACCAGGACCGCACACTGTGTGGCCATTGCAAGGGCTATTGCCCTTGCTTCCAGTTGGTCAGTCCACAGTGGGCACCTGGACCAAATGCCAGGGGGAAGCGCCCCACAGAATTCTCAGTGGAGCAGCTTTAGACAAGTACAGTATACTTAGAAGGCACCAGCGCTGAGGAGTAACAGTGACGAGTGCCACTAACTTCCAGCTCTTATTTAACCCTGGTAGCCCTACGAGGTAGGTCCGCTTCTTGGCTCTTTTTTAGAGATGGCCAAACCGAGGCACAGAATGGTGACGTCTCTTTGGCCAAGGACCCCCCCCACCCCCCAGGAATGAGGGTTAGAGTGGGGACACAGGGTCCTATCTGTCTCTAGCCAGGGCCCCTGCACCACCGTTTGGAGGGAGGCAGGAAACCGTATCCAACTGAAAAGGTGGGGAATCCGTGGAGGGGGCCCTCTGGTGGTGGGCACGGTGGGCAGCATCCACTGTGCCCTGGAGCTGAATTTAAATCTCTGTTCTGACATTTCCTAGTGGCGTGACCTGGGCAAGTCATTTTACCTGCCGGAGTCTCAGTTTCTCCATCTGTAAAATAGGAATAGGAATAGTGGGGACTTCTCGGGTAGCTGTGAGGATTCGGTAACAGAAAGTGTTCACAGGTTATGATTAACACATGGTAATGATGACAGATAGGAGTGCCAACGGAGTGATTCCTTCCTTTCCAGGGATGGGAAGATAGCTGGAGTGCCCCCTCAGGTCCAACTCACCAAGGGTAGGCAGAGTAGGGAAAGGGCACCCTGGAAGTTTTAGAAAGTTATTTTGGGGCAAATCAAGGACAATCCTGTGATCTTGTGCCACCTTCTCCTTCACTGGCCTCCTTTCTGTTTTTCCAAGGCCAGGAAGTCTCAGCCTGCTTCCCACATCAGGACTGTGACCACTTACTAACTCCTGGCTAATCTCCCCCAAACCTCTGCCTTCCTCACGGCCTTCACTCCCCAGCTCAGACACCATCCGTGGTTCCCCATGGTTCCCGACGCTCAATGTCCACTGCCTACCTTCAACCTGCCCTTTCAAACTGCCTTCCTGTCCAATCAAAACAAAGGGACCCCGTCAAAATATTAAATCAGATCATGTCTCACTCTGCCCCAATTTCCCCTTCGGAGAAAAGCTTTGCAAATCTTTTATCGGATAAGGGACTCGTATTTAGCATCCACACAAAACTCCTACAACTCAGTAATAAAAAGGCAAATAATGCATTAAAAACTAGGGAAGGGATCTGACTGACAGTTCTCCGAATAGACATACAAAGGGCTTAGAAGCATATCATTCTTCATTAGGAAAATGCAAATCAACACTCTGAGATACTACCCCCCACCCAGCCCAAGGATGGCTATGGCTTAAAAAGATAATAACAAGTGTTGGAGAGGATGTGGAGGAAGTGGAACCCTCGTGCAGCAGTGAGAAGGTACAATTGTGCCGCTGCTCTGGAAAGCGGTTTGGCGGTTCCTCAAAATGCTAAATATAGAATCACCATGTGAGTCAGTATATTAGTCAACTCGGGCTGCCATATCAAAGTACTAGGAGGCTTATCCAACACACATTTATTACTCACGGTTCGGAAGGCTGGGAAGTCCAAGGTCAAGATGCCAGTGTTCTTAGTTCGGCCTCATGGGTTTTATTTAATTCAGTCACTATTATTATGCTCAAAGTGTCCCGGTTTTAACCAGGGTGGAGCCTCTGCAAGCGGGCTCCTGCCCTTTGGACATAGCTCCATCCTTCTTTGAGTAGCTCTATGGTTTTGGGCACAAGATGTTCCAGGCTCATCGTGTGCTTTCCCTGGCCCAACCTGGAATTTAGCTTTTTCTCCCTGGAGTCCTGACTCCTTTGGTGGATCTGGGCACGAGGTGTGCTCCTTATCACTGGGGTGTCATTGCCCCTGGGGCTTCTTAATTGGACGGAGCAAGGGAATGCGTATGTAGATTTCTCTGCCTAAATCTGAAAAACCACGAGTCCACGCTGATATTTCCAATTCAGCCCACTGCCACAACAACCTTCCGAGGCTTCTAGCTTTCTAATACCTGTATTTCTCTTAGTGATAAACCTGGATCCCAAATCAGCGTTACATTTATTCATTTGCTCAATCCCACACTACACAGAGAATAGTTTCAGAATACCACTTTGCAAAAACAAACTTACGACGTAGAGTTTAAGATTCGCGCAGTGTGGTTCTGTGATTTATTTGAAATGAGTCAGGTTTCTTTGTCTCTGCTTGCATTCCTTTTTATGGATTTTTCCCATACTGTTGATTTGAAAACTTTTTTAACTACGCAAAATACCAACACATTTCCAAAAGTCAAAACTATACAAAAAAAGAACACTATGTTAATGATACTGGAGTTACAAAAAAAAAAAAAAAGGAAACTACAAAAAGATATCGTCATAGACATGTCATCCTCTCTCCTAACCCTCCCATCCCCTTCTTATCTACCTCCTTGGGGATCTAATTTCATTCGTTTTGGGTTTACCTCACCTGTGTTTCCTTTGCAAAAATTAGAAGATTCAAGTACGTTTTATCTCCCCTTCTTTCTTACACAAAAGATAGCATACTATATATACTTTTTCACACTTTGCTTTTGTCAACGAACACTATGTCTTAGTAATCACTCCGATCCAGTTTATAGAAAACTTCCCTTTTCTTTTCCTTTTTTCCTTTTTTTTCCTTTTTTTTTTTTTTTTTACAGCTGTGTAGTACTCCATTGTGGGGATGATCCAGTTACTCAATGAATCTCCTACGTATAGGCATCAGGGTGTTTCCAATATTTTAAAATTACAAACAGTGCTGCGGTGAACAACCTTATGTATAAATATTTAGGTGGAATTGCTGGGTCAGAAGGTAAATGCATGTGAAGTTTTTCGAGGAACTACCTACTTCCCCTCCATTTAGCACACCTACCAGCCATTTATGTATGTCCATTTCTCGAGGGTCATCGAGAGAGCATGTTGTCAAGCTTCTTAATTTTTTCTAATCTGGTGGGTGAGAAGTCATTTTTTTTTAAGTTTTTTTTGAAAGGTAGTACAGTTTCTGTGCAGTCTTTATCCAGCTTCTCCCAAAGATAACATCCCCCATAACCAAAATCAGGAAATTGACATTAACACCTCACTTTTAACTAAATTACAGACCTTATTCCAATCTCACAGTTCTCACGTGCACTCAAAACTTCTGGCATATATTTCTATGAAATTTTATTCTCAGTGTAGCTATAATTTGCATTTCTCTTACGGCCAATGAAGTGAGCATTTTCCATAAGTTTAAGGATCATTTTTAGATCTTTTTTTCATGAATTATCTGTTCATATTTTTTTGTCCATTTTTCTATCCGGTTTTCACATTTACCCCCCTCAAATTTAAAGAGTTCTTCATATACTAATGATATTAGCCTTTTAACTATGATATATGTTGTTGTTGTTTTTTAAAGATTTTATTTTATTTATTTGACAGAGAGAGAGAACACGAGAGAGGGACCACAAGCAGGGGGCGTGGGAGAGGGAGAAGCAGGCTTCCCGCTGAGCAGGGAGCCCGATGCGGGTCTTGATCCCAGGACCCTGGGATCATGACCTGAGCCGAAGGCAGACGCTTAACGACTGAGCCACCCAGCCGCCCCTATGATATACATTGTAAATATTTTCTCCTGGTTTGTTAGTTATCTTTTGACTTTGCTTATGGTGTTTTCCACATGCAAAAGTTACAGAAGATCTTATATAGTTAACGGTATTAATCTTTTACTACATCTGAATTTTAAGTCATAGTTAGAAGGCCTTTTTCCACACACAAGTAATGGAGGAATTCACCCATACGTTCTTCTATAATTGCAGTTTTATTTTTTACATTTAGATGCTCAGCATTCAGGAGTTTCTATTTGTGTATGGTGTGAGGAGTGGATCCTGGAGCAATTAAGTATAAATATAGCAAAATATTGGCAATTGATGGCAGGCACATGGGTATTTACCACGGTTGCAAACTTTCTCAAGGTCTGACAATTTAGAAAAAATAAACAGCTGTGGGTAAAGTGTGTTAAGCGGAGTTTGTGTAGGTGGACGGAGGCGGGGGGCGCCTTTAAGATGGGCCCCGCCCACCCCGGAAGGGCTCGCCCCAGCCCCGCCCACCGCCGCGAGTCGCCTTCTCCCCGGTTCGCGCCGGCCCCGCCCTCCGCAGCCGAGTAAAGTCACGTGAGCGGGGCTGCGGCGCTCCGCTCCGCTCGGTCATGGTGGCCCCGATGTACGGTTCCCCGGGCGGCCGCCTGGCCCGGGCGCTGACGCGGGCGCTGGCGCTGGCCCTGGTGCTGGCCCTGCTGGTCGGGCTGTTCCTGAGCGGCCTGACGGGCGCGATCCCGATCTCGGGACGCCAGTGGGGGCCCAACGGGCCGGTCCCTCCCGAGTCCCGCAGCCGCTCCGTGCTCCTGGACGCCGAGACCGGCCAGCTCCGCCTGGTGGATGGCCGCCACCCGGATGCCGTGGCCTGGGCCAACCTCACTAACGCCATCCGCGAGACCGGGTAAGGGTTGGCCCGACCCCGCGCGGGACCGGCCGGGGGAGGGGCTCGCACGGGTTCCGGGCCTCATCGCCCCTGGCTCCCTGGGGGTCAGTTTCCCCCCCTCTTAGGCTGCAGCAGGTCACTGGTTGGGTGGGGGCTAGTGCAGCATCCCTCAGCTCATGGGGACCAGTCCCTCGCCTTCAGTAAAGGGTGACAGTACCTCTGTTACACTTAGAGACCAGATCCCTACCACCCGCCCAGGCCCCAGTGCCTCCATCTGGATTAGGTCTGCGGAGCACCGCGTCCCCCCAGCCCCACCGCCCTTGGGCCAGAAGGCTGGTGATAGCTCTTCAAGAGAGAAACTCTCACTTCCTTGAGCGTGGCTTACCCCATGGGTGCCATGCTCCTGCCTCTGTTCCTGAACCAGGGCAGCCCGACTGAGCCTGGATTCTAGGCCAGTGGGAAAACCCAGGATCCCTAAATTCATGTAGACCCAGATAGTATTTTTGCTTGGGCTCTGCTCCTTTCTCTCCTCCTTCCTGGTCCAGGGGAAAGTTGCTTGGCCAGATAGTTGGTAAGGAGCCAAGTGCTCCATCCTTGGTAGTCATGATCAGCTGCTGTTCTGACTCCCCTGCCTGTCTGGGCTCCCATTTCCTTATCTGTGGCTCAGATTTTGAGGATATGCTCTGGCTGGGAGGTTGGGTGGTACCCTTCTCAGGCCCTGTACCAGGGCTTCTGCCCCTGCATTCATTCATTCATTCACTCACCTGATGTACTTGGCCTTGGGGACATAGAGCTGAGCAAGGTGGGTCTCCATTTAGAGGGGGAGACAGCACCAGAAGGGTAACCTGAGTCAGTGGGAGTGGGGAAAATCTGCCTTAAAGCCTTGTCAGCAGGGCTCAGGCCCTGGATTAAGGCTATGCTGGGGATCTTTTAGTGAACCCTAAGGCCCCCTCCCCGTTCCACCCTCCCACTGCTCCCATCCGTTTTGCTGGCATGCGTTAATTCCTGCAGGTGTTGGGGAGATAGAGGACACTGAGAACACCCCCATTTTGATGCTTTGTGGTACTTGGGAGGGTATCAGATAGACAGACAGAGGGAAGATTGTGAGGAGGGGATTTGCTGCAGACACAGGAGCTGGGTGGGGCTAATCTGGGAAGGCTCCCAGGGAGAGGAGGCCACAGGGTGGGCTAGTTATTGTCCATGGAGGGAACTAGAGCTCTGTGGCTCTGGAATCTGATGACCCATTCTCTGCCGACTCACACATGTTTTTGGCCCTGCTTAGCAAAGCCAAGAGGGCATGACAAATCTCTGCCTCCATGCTAGCTAGGAAGGAGGCACAGAGGTGAGGCCCAGCATGGGAAGGGGGCCTTGTTCGCAGGAGGCCCCCACTGGGCTGTGTTGCTCTGAATTATGGAAAACAGAAATGGAGAGAGGGCTTCCTTGATTGTGCTGGATGGAAAGCTCTTTGTGGCCCAGCTCCTTCGCTGTGTGACCTTGGGCAAATCGCTTCGCCTCTCTGAACCCGTTTCCTCCACTAAAGGTGAGGCTTGAAGGGAAATTCATGGGATCACAGAAAGCACCTCTGTTTGTTTACTGAAGGAAGAAATGAGTGAAAGAGAAAAGAGCAGGTGTCCTCTGCCCCCCCATTTTACAGTGAGGGAAACAGGCCTGAGGCAAGAGCCCAGGTCTCATCCACACTTCTTGCTCTCATGTCCCCTTTCCAGCGTCGTTTCTGTCCAGTTGGCCTATTTAGCACTGGGGGCTGGGCTATAGGGAGAACTGTATCAGAAGCCCCTATTTTGGGGCGCCCGGGTGGCTCAGTGGGTTAAGTGTCTGCCTTCGGCTCAGGTCATGATCCCAGGGTCCTGGGATCGAGTCCCTCATCACGCTTCCTGCTCAGCGGGAAGCCTGCTTCTCCCTCTGTCCCTCCCCTCTGCTCGTGCTCTCTCTCTCTCTCACTCTCTCCCAAATAAATAAATAGAACATTTTTAAAAAGCCCCCATATTGGAAACAGGGAAACTGAGGCCCTTAAGATCGACCTCTTAGAACTCAGGGATAAGATGAAAGAAAGACATCTGAGGTTTCCTGGCCCCTGATCAGCAGAACCTCTGAACTGTGGGTGCCTGTCTCATTTTTCAAAGGATGGAGGCCAGGGATTTGACTCTTCCGTTTACCTGAGTTGGGGTCGCTCCTCCTTCTGTCCCCCAGAACTCGCCACGGGGGATCTTGGGGTTGTCAGGATAAATTCCATGCCCTCTTTCCCCCCCGTGGTCTGTGCTCTTTCAGTTGTGCTATATCTGACCTGGGACTGATACTCCCCATGAAGCCTGAAACATTTAGGATTTGGTGCTTGGGCATCAGAGGTGCCCCAGGAGGCCGAGCCTGCGCCAGTTTGATTCCAGCCTTGGTGTTGGGGAGGCTGCACCCCTCCAGCCCTACCTTTTCCTCCATCCCTGACTCCCCAGCCCCCAGCTGCCCAACAGAAATCACGAGTCACTGCGGAGTTGGGAAAGGAAGTGAGTACCAATAAGAGGGAATTACCCTATTAAGAAGCAGGGAACCCACTCAAATCCACCAACTAATGAGCAGAAACCCAGCCCAGTAAAATGGGTAAATACCATCCAGCTGTTCTTGGAAGTCAGAACAGGTGAACATATTCCATCAAGAGTGAGGAAGGAATGGTAGGCACAGATAAGGTAGGAGAAGTGTCCATGGTGCACTGTACCCAGAAGCAGGGCATGGTGACTGGGGTAGGGTTGTGACCCCGCTGCTCGTCACACAGCAGTGGTCTGGTTTTTCTCAAACGTGGCCTCCTCTTTAGACCCTGGAGCCATCAGGCATTAGGCACCCGTGACATAAAATCACAGTGTGGCCCATAGACTCTCCAGATTAAAAAAAGAAAAAGAAAAAGAAGATTGGAGAAACAGATCAGTACTGCCAACTTTTTATTTTTGTCAAGTGAGTGCATTAAACACAACAGAACAACATTTATTGACCTCCGTCAATTTTATCTCATAAAAGATCTGCTATTTTAGAACCAAGTAAGCAGGAAGGACGTGTTCTTTAATAGAGAGCAATCTAATGGGTACATTTAACTTTAGAAACGCTTGTCAGTGGTTTTCTTTTGACCAGGGATGGGGATAGAGTTTTGCAAAGTTGTCATTAGGCGCAGGTGAGGGCATCTAGAGGTCCTTTGCCCAAGTTCAAGCCTCCCCCATTTTACAGATGGGGAAGTCGAGGCTGGAAGGGCCAGGAAATGTAGTATGGAGCAGAGTTTACTATCAGAGAGATCTAGGCTCGTATCTTCGCCTGCCTCATCTCTGTGGCAAGGGGGGTGAGAACCCTTTAGGATGGGGGGAAGGGGGGCGAAGGGGTGAGGAATCATCTGATTAGGCTTAGGGCCCGAGGCAACAGAGGGATCCTCAGAGATCAGCCTCAGGGGCTCCGGCACTGAAGTCTGGTGGCTTGGAACAAAACCCCTTAAATGGGAACATCCCCCGCCCAAAGTGTTCTGGAAAGATAGGTGGAACCCATCTCTCTGGGTTTTTCTGAGGACTCAGGCAAAGTGAATAAAACCCATCTAAATGGAATCACCCCAGTTGCCCTTTGGAACAAGGCAGCGCACAAGGAGATGGGGGAGGGTGGTGATTGTTAGACAATTAACTTTTTGTGGTAAAAAAAAAAATCCCAGCAGTTTAGGAAAAGTTAGGATGTGTGAGGTAAGTCCCCACATATATAACCACTGTTAGCTCTTTCTTCCACAACTTTCTATGCAAAAATAGGCCTAAGTGTGCATGCGTATGTGTAAGCGTGGGTATGCGTGCGTGCGTGCATAAGTAAAGTGCTTGCACACACAGGGTTATCCTGAGTCTACCATTTATCCTTCTCTGATCTTTTTTTATGTTGTGTCTGACATCTTGTCAGCACATGGCAGCCCTTTCTCATCATAGCAGTTGCCCTGTTATGTCATTACCTGCTTACGTGCCCCCCCCACAGCCACCCGTCACCCCCACATTAGCCTTGGGAAGGCCAAGCCTGAATGTCCTTCACTTTTGTGCACCCTCGATGTCTGGCACCCGGTAGGCTCTCAAAAGGCTTGCTTGATGAAAGTATCAGGTTGAGCGTGTTTTGATCGTCTCTTCCTCTCCAGAGTTCTCTCTAGGCCACAGCTCTTCTTGCCCTGGAGCTCTTGGATGGTGTGTTGGCCACCTCCCCATGAGACCATCCTGGTGGAGCCTGCTCTGCCTTGTTTCGGAGCCTCTTCCTGGTCTCATGAGCGTCTTCCTGTGCCCCTCATTTTCTTTGTGGAAATTGCCTTAACAAATGTTTGTCCCCGAGTTACAGAAGCCACCTGGGTGAATAGTTTTGTGTCCTAGGAGCAAGAATGAAATCCAGAACCATAAAGGAAAAGATGGATAGATTTGGCTGCCCCCCAAAACCCAAAAACCTCTATATGGCAAAAGCAAAAAATCAATTAAATCAATTAAAATACAAACATATTTTCAATATTAGTGACAAGCAAAGGGCTAATGTGTACATAGAGAACTTCACAAATCAATAAGATAAACACAAGGGAGATAAGTGAGTAAAGCCCTTGAACCAAAGAACTATAGGTGACCAATAAAAATTTAAAAACAAGTGTAGGGGCGCCTGGGTGGCTCAGTCTGGTAAGTGTCCGACTCTTGATCTCAGCTCAGTAATCTCAGCGTCATGAGTTCAAGCCCTGCGCTGGGTGTGGAACCTACTTTAAAAATAAATAAATACATTAGTTAATTAAATTAAAAAATTAAAATAAGGATAATTGAACTAATTAAAGGATTATCATCAAAACAACATGATTGCGTTTTTCAACCACTGCCTTGGCAAAGATGAGAAAGATTGCTAGGAATCCTTTCAGGCAAGGAGTGGACAGACAGGAGTGGGTACATTTTGGCGAGGTGGTCTACAGCCAAGCGTGGTTGCAGGCTGGTGGCGCTGGCCTCACCTGGCCGCTACTTAGAAATACAGGGTCTCGGGCCCCTCCCCAGACTCCTGATCAGAATCTACTTCCGAACCAGGTCTTTGAGTGACACGGATGCACGTCAGAGTTTGGGAAGTGCTGCTTCCCAGAAGGAATGGGAGCCAGTCTGCTTGGACTTGAATCCCAGCTCGGCCCTTTACCAGCTCTGTAACCTTCGGCAGGTGTATCAGCTAGTGTTAGGCAGCAGTGCTGTGTAACAAATTAGCTGCCAAACCCACTGGCTTCAAAAATAACCCAGGGTTATTTTCGATGGATCCAAGGGGCAGCCAGGGCAGCTCTGCTTCATCCTGTGGGTCTGCAGAGCTGGTCTGCTCCATGTTTCTGTCACGTTCCTGAGAGCAGCGGGCTGGCTGGGGCATGTTCTCCTGGCAGAGGCAGAGGAGGGCAAGCGGAAACAAAGGCGGCCTTGCAAAGGCTGATCTTATACCTGGCACATGGTCACTTCCATCCATTGGCCAAAGCGAGTCATATGACCGAGCCCAGATCAGTGGGGCGGGGAGGGACTTGGCCATGGGTAGGAGGGACCGCAAAGCCGCACGGCAGAGGGCACAGAGAGGGTGGAGGGGTAGTAGTGCAGGCTTCCATGGCAGTTACGGAACTTTGTGCCTTAATTTCCCTCCTCTTCTGCACTACGGGGAGTAACAGTGCCTGCCTGGTAGGAGCGTGGGGTTGTCACAAGGATTGAATGAGTTAGTAGACAAGAAGTGACTAGAACGTCATCTAGCACAGAGGAAGCCCTCGTTTGACGCTGGCTGGTGAGGGCTGGATTAGTACAGCTTTGGGGGGGGGGCGTTTGTCAGGGCTGATTAAAATTAAAAATGCCTGTGCCCCCACGCTGACCGGGCCCGCCCTCCTCCCCGACTAGGTGGGCCTTTCTGGAGCTGCAGACGAACGGCCGCTACAACGACAGCCTGCAGGCCTACGCCGCGGGCGTGGCGGAGGCCGCTGTGTCTGAGGAGGTAAGGGCCAGATGGGGGGACCTGGGGCTCCCACCTCCCACCCCACCCAGCGTGCACCCCAGGAAGCTCGGAAGGGTTCTGAGGTGAGGTGCATGCAGATTGGGCTCCCTGCTCCCGCCCCCAGCCCTCCACGTAATTGGGCAGCCAGAGCTCACGTGCAGTCTTTAAAAAACTCAGGCTAGGTAGTATTTGATGCGTCTGAAGGATGTATGACATTTTCTGAGTCACAGAGCACAGCAATAAAACAAACATCCAGACTAAAACGTACAGTGTTACTGATCGCTCTGAGGCCCCCTTCCCAACCCCTGCCCCCAGAGGCACCATCACCCTAAATGTGACTTTCTTTCTTTCTTTCTTTCATTCATATTGAGATATCATTCACATGCCATAAAACTCACTATTTTGAAATGTACAATTCAGTGGTTTTTAGTATATTCATAGGGTTGTGCAACGATCACCACTACCCCATTCCAGAACATTCTCATCACCCCAGAAAGCAACCCCATACCCAGAGCTCCCCTTTCTCCCTCACCCCAGCCCCTGGCAACCATTAACCTACCTTCTGTCTCCATGGGTTTGCTGATTCTTGCCATTTCATGTGAGTGGGTGGTCTTCTGTGTCTGGCTTCTTTTCCTCAGCATCGTGTTTTCAAGATTCGTCCCCGTTCTAGACTGTGTCAGTCCTTCACTCCTTTTTGTAGCCAAATAATACTGTCTTGGATGGACAGACCACTGGATGGATGGACCACATTTTATTTATCCACGCATCCGTGGATGGACACTTGAATTACTTCCACCCTCTTACTTTTGTTAAACTAGTTTTACCACACGTGCAGAATCCTCAGACAACCTACTGTTTTGCTCTACTTGATCTGGGGCTTTAGAAAAGTGCTAGCATCAATTTCAGAAGGCGGCCCATCTCAGAAGTGGGTGAGACTTCGTGGTGACAGCCAGTCTCCTGCAGTGTGGGAGGAAGTGTGACACCCACTTGGGAAAGTCATTTGGCAATGGTAGCGTCGAGTCCACGCGTGCCCTGGGGCCGCCGAACACCATATGATAGACCTTTGGGAAGGAATCAGCAACACGATGCATCCTGGATGCTGGCTGCTGAGGGGGAAGAGCATGTGACAGATGACTGCACACAGGGGACACCCCCTTATAAAACTCATACTCCTCATTCTGACACCCAGCAGCCGTTTTGGACGTCCGCTTGGGATCTGGATGTCTGGGGAGCTGCTCAGACGCTGGGCCAGGCCGGTGCTGCCTGGGGTGCAGTAAATGAGGCAGGGTTCTGTCTTTCAAGGGTCCCGCTAGCCTGTCAGGAACACTGAGGCAAGGCCCCAGGGGCTGTCCTGAGTGGAATCCTGGACACATGTGCCAGGAGCTTGGCCCGTGTTCTCTCCCTCAGCCCGCACACCAGCCTCCCCACCCCACCGAGGGAAGCGTGACTGCCTTACTGGGGCTCAGAGAGGTGAAATTACTCACCCAGGGTCACACAGCCATTCATCAGGGGGGCCAGCATTCAAACCCAGCTGTTTGACCAGAGTCTCTGTTTCTGAGTGTTTTGCTCTGCCGCGCACCCCCCCTCCCCGCTGCCCCTGCACCCAGGCCAGAGCCTGATACAGGACAGGCACTTGGGAAATGCTTCTGGAACTGGTGGAAAGGTGTATGGAGGAAGTGGCATCTTTTTGAGGCCTTGGGGTACAGAGGAGAAATCGAATGTGTTTCAGGGAGATGGCCGTGGAGCGGGGGGGCGGTCCTTAAGCGATCAGTCTTGGGGTACCAGGTGCTGCCACAATCCCCTCACTGGCCTGTGTGTCTTGGGAATATTTCCAGTGTGGCGAGGGGTGTGGCTGGACGTTAACCCGGCAGCCTTTGGGAAATGACAAATCCACACCTTTCCAGGGTTCAAATCCTGACTCTTTGATTCCGTACCTGGAGGACCTTGGGTAAGTTAGTCACCTGCCGGTGCCTCGGTGTCCTCCGCTATGAAGCAGGGGTGGTGAGGATAGCACTCTCCTTGCAGAGTTGCCTTGAGCTTTGCGTGGGTCCGTTCATACCGAGTGCCATCCATGTGAGTTCCGGGCGATGGACCAGGTCCCCGTAGTGCCACAAGATAGGGGACGCCCCTGCCCCTGCTGGGAAGACAGGATTCCAGGCCAGGCCTGGCTGATCTTGGCCGAGCCCACCCATGCTTCCGCGGTCAGCTGGCAGGTCAGCGGGGGCAGCTGGGTGGCTTCGAACGGTCTCCGTCATGCATCTGGGGGTTGGCGGTCTGTCAGTCTGGGTGACGGGGCCGACGGGGCCGATGTGGTGTTGAACGTGGCCTGTCTTGTTCATGTGACATCAGGCCGGGAGGTGTGGAAGGCCTCTCGACGGCTGGTTGAACCGGCCCGGCATTCACTTGTGCACGTGCGTGTCAGTTGTGAGTTCTCTGCCGTGTCCCTGGGGCTTCGGACAGGACACAGTAGGGGCGCGAAAGTCGTAGTTTGTTGACCGACTGAATACTTCCATAGCTTGGGGGTCTCCGGTAACAGAGGATGCTCAGTCTAGAGCAGACTTTGAATGCTAAAGGCTCTCAAAGGAGGGAGACATCCAGAAGCTTTGGGCCCTGGTGGGACAAGAGTGGGTTGGGTGGGAGGGGCCTCGGGGGGATGAGAGCCCGCGGGAGCAAAGGTGCAGAGGGGCCTTACCAGGGCACCGTGGTTCTCGGAGGCCTGAACGGGGTGAGGAGTCTGAGCCCGAGTGGGGAGCCAGCGGGGTCCTCGGCGAGGAGAGCAGCATGGCTACCCCGCCCCCACCCTCGCCCACCTCGCCTACCCCGCAGCTCATCTACATGCACTGGATGAACACGGTGGTGAATTACTGTGGCCCCTTCGAGTACGAAGTCGGTTACTGCGAGAAGCTCAAGAGCTTCCTGGAGACCAACCTGGAGTGGATGCAGGAGGAGATGGAGCTGAAGCAGGGCTCGGCTTACTGGCATCAGGTGGGTGTGGCCCCCATGCTCCGTGGGAGGGACGGCGGGCTGGGTCTGCTCTGGGGACCTGCCACCGCTGTGGCTTCTGCTGCCAGCTGTCTGTCTCCCAGCCCTCTTTGCCAGCCCTTTCCCCCTCCCTCCCTCCCTCTCCCCCCTCCCCCCCCTCCTTCATCCATCCACCCATCAGTCCTCCCTCCCTCCCTGGCCATCCACGCACCCATCCATCCATCCACCCTCCGTATGTCTGTCCATCCATCCAGTCTTCTCTCCCTTCTTCCCTCTCCGCCAACTGTCCATCCATTCGTCTACCTCCCCACCCACCCATCCATTCATCCTTCTGTCCATCCAGCCATCCAGTCCTCCCTCCCACCATGCTGTCTTCCCTTTCCCTCCATCCTTTCCTCTCTCCTCCCACCCAGCCATCCGTGTGTCTAGTTTGTCAGCACACGCACCACCCACAGGCTTATCTGTCTTCCTCTCTCTTCCTCTCACCCGTCTGCCAGCCCCTGCCCATCTTCGGCCAGTTCCCAGTTCTCCCACCAACCACCTCCCCAACTGTTGACATACCCCCATTTTGTTGCCTGTCCGTCTCCCTGCCTGCCATCCACCTGTCTGTCCACTCCCCCCCTACACTTTTTCCCATTTACTTGCCCAGCTGTCTGTCTGATCGTCCACCTTGTCTGCTTCAATCCCCACTTTCTCCCAGCCATCGGTCATCGAAGCACCTCCCTGTGTCAGTCTGTCCATCTGTAGCTCCACCGCGGCTGCTCTCTCTCCCCACCCAGGGCCGCCCCGTTCCCTGGGGATGACGCACCCTGTCCATCCCCAGCTTCGTCTCCTGCTGACCTCCTCGCTCTGTGGTCCAGCCTCCCTGACCTCCTGGTTTCTCGAACAAGATGTGTTACCTCTTGCCTCAGGGCTTAGGACCTGCTGCCCCTTCTGCCCAGAACACCTTCTTCTTCCCCCCACCCCTCACCTCTGTCCCGTACCCACACTTCCCTGTGGTGCTCTAGTGCGGGACTCAGTCCGTCTTCAGGGAGACTCGAGCCCCATGAGGCCAAGGCAGGGACCACATCTGCTTTGTCCACCACAGTATCCCTGGCGCCTAGCACAAGGGCCGGCACACAGTGGGTGCTTTATGTGTCAAGCTTGGTTGAATATCTAGAGATGAAAGAATGGATCTGTCTTGTCCTGTCTGCCCATCCAGTCTGTGACCCCCGACTGGACATCTGTCCTTCCGTCCACCCTGCCATCCACCTGGACGATTGCTTCTCTGCCCTTCCCTTCCTTCTACATAACTTAGCAGCCACGCATCCATCTCTCAGTGCTGCCTGACTGTCCGTCCATGTCCGTCCATGCTAACGAAGTACCTGGTATATACCCAGCGCTGACCAAGGATGCACGGGGGACACAGTGATGATCTCCCTGGTTAGAGAGCAGGGACAGTGACCATGGGGAGAAGTCAGCTAATGAGACTGTGTCCTCAGGCAGCAGTGCAGCCAGGAGCTGAGCTCAGGATAGGGAGCCGTTGACGGTGGGTCAGGGCTGGCTGGGAGGCTTTCTGGAGGAGGTGGCTTTCAGTTGGACTCTTAAGTGGGAGTGATTTAGGTTGGCAGGGGGCAGAAACATCATTAACTAAGTGATGGCAAGAGAGTGCTTGGCACGGAGGGCTGGGTGCTAGGAAAGGGGGTGGTCAGGGCTGTCAGGATCCTGGAGGATGCACCCTGGGCCCCTCCCATTGCAGGAGAAGGCGTGAGCGCCAGGGGGAGAGGCCTCACCCCATCTGTGCCCCCCCCCCTCAGGTGCGGCTCACCCTCCTGCAGCTGAAAGGCCTCGAGGACAGCTATGAAGGCACTATGACCTTTCCAACTGGGAGGTTTACCGTCAAACCCTTGGGTTTCCTGTAAGTGCCACTCCTGGAGCGGACAGGGTAGGGGAGAGGGACATGCACCTCATGGTCAGACAGACCTGGGTTCCCATACGGGTTCTGCCACCTCCTGGCCCAGACTCAGACCGCTCACCTAGCCTTCCAGAGCCTCAGCTTCCTCCTCTGTGAAAGGGGTATGGAAACGTACTCCTGGCAGGCAGGCGTGGTAACCCTCCGCCCCCCCCCCCCCCCCTTCTCAGCCTGTTGCAGCTCACCGGGGACCTGGGAGACTTGGAGCCTGCCCTGAATAAGACCAAGACCAAGCACGTTATGGGCTCTGGCTCTTGCTCTGCCCTCATCAAGCTGTTGCCTGGCCAGACGGACCTCTTGATCGCCCACAACACCTGGAGCTCCTACCAGAACATGCTGCGCGTCATCAAGAAGTACTGGTTCCAGTTCCGGGAAGACCCCCAAGGTGGGTGGACGTGGGTGTATCTGTGTGTGAGCATGCGTGTGGGCACACAGTGCAGGGGGGCGGGACGCCGGGAGCTTGTGGGCCTTGGCCCTGTGCACACTGTCCAGCTGCTCTAGGAGTCCATCTTATTGTTAACATTTTTGTTTCCTTTTAGTTCCTTTTCACAAGGTGTATCAGTTACCTTTTGCTGTATAACAAATCACTCCAGATTTAAAACAACAGAAGCTTAAAACACGACCATTTATTTTTGCTCAGTGTGTCTGTGGGTCAGCCAGATGGTTTTGTTATGCCGGGCCAGGCCTGGCTGATCTTGGCTGGGTCACTGATGTTTCTGCGGTCAGCCGGGGTGAGCTGGCTGACCGAGGATGGCCTCATCTGCGTGTCTGGGGGTGGCTCTCAGCTGGGTGTTGGCGTCGCTGGGCTAGCTCAGGCTTATTCTTGTGACATCTGGGCAGGGCAGTGTGGAAGGCCTCTTGAAGGCTGATCGAAACGGGCACAGCATTCTTTTGTTCAAAGCAAGTCCGGTGACCAGCTCTGATTTGAGAGGTGGGGAAACAGAGCCCAGCATTTGATGTGAGGAATTGCAGGGTGCCACTGCAGATGGTAGGGATGCAAGCATGGGAAGAATTACAGCAGACACTCAGTGCAAACACTCAGCTACACAAGGAATAATGCATGAATACATGAATATGCTCTTCCTGTCAAACGTGAAAACTTTGCAACTAAGGCCCAAGTGCCCCAGCGTGGCTCCCCCATCCAATCCCTGGCCCCAGTGTCCACCCCGGAGGGGTGGACACTGCCAGATGTTTGCAGTGCCTCCTTCTTGGCAAAACTCAAAAATCGAAATGTTGCCAGGAGGTGGCGAGGGGGGTGGGGAAATGTATACCCTCATCCTCTGCTAATGGGAGTGAGTACCGGTTGGCGCTGCTGCTTTGAGGAAGAACCCCACCGGTACCCAGTAAAATTCAAAATCTGTCACTCCCATGGTCCAGCAATTCTTGGCTCAGATTTGTCCCTAGAGAAACATTTCGACTTCTGCACAGGGATGGTGCACAAGGATGTCAACTACAGTAATGGTTGGGAAACAACCTAATGCCCGTTAACTTAAGTAAATTTCTGCATTGACATGTATACAGAGAAGCGTGCACATCACATGTGTACAGCCAGAAGTTTGCATATTGCACACATCTATGTGTAGCACCCAGACTGAGAAACAGAACATTCCCAGCCCCCCGAAGCTGCTGTCCTGGCCCTTTCAGGCATGTATCCCCACCCCAGCATAATCTCCATCTGCCTGCTTACAGCGTGCATGAGGTATGCCCGATTTTGCATGTCACGTGCATAGACACATACAGCACGTGTGCTTGCTTGTGTGTGACTTCTCTCGCTTAGCACAGTGCCTGTGAGGTTCATCCACGTTGTTGTTTGTAGTCACAGATCTATCGTTTTCATTGTTATGGATCCATGAACATTGTAGTATCTTTTGAAAAAAACCTACGGAAGGGGGTGCCTGGCTGGCTCAGTCCATAGAGCATGCAACTCTTGATCTCGGGGTTGTGAGTTTGAGCCCCATGTTGGGAGTAGAGATTATTTAAACAAAGAAACAAAAGCCTATGTAAGTTAACACATATGGTATAGGAAATTGGAAAATACACTAAGATGTTCATATACAATCGAAATCACTTGAACACCCCATAACCCATAGGAGATAATTTCTGTGAATATTTGGTTCTGTTTGTTTCTAGACTAAGATGTACCTTATTTTCCCACTTGTTTTAACTGATTTTTATTATGCTAGTAATACGTGAATACATTCACGTACTTTCTTCATCAGCAATGCAGATGAAGAAATACACTCTTGTGATACCCTTCTCCCAAATTCCAGACCCTTCCCAAGAGGATACTGCTGCCATTTTCGTTTGGATCCATCTAGATTTTTTGCACGAGATGCACTTATATTGTCTATATTCGAACCTTTTTTTTTTTACTTAATAGACTTTATTTTTTAGAAAAGCTTTAGGTTTACAGATAAATCGAGTAGATAACACAGAGAGTTCCCGTATACCTCCCCGCTCCTTTCTCCTGTTATAAACATGCTGCATTGGTGTGGTACACTTGTTACAATTGATCTGCCGATATCAGTACGTTACTATCAATGGAAATCCATAGTTGACATTCAAGTTCACTCTGAATAGTATGGTTGCACGTATTTTGGTAAACGCACAGTGATGGATATCCACCTTTACAGTACTCTACAGCAGTTTCGCTGCCCTAAACAGTTTGCTTTTTGTTTTTTGTTTTTTTAAACATAAATAAGACCATAGCATATGGATTGTTTGCATCTTGCTCCCTTTGCTCAACAGCTAGCCTTGGAGAATTTTGGGTATTGCCACGTTCAGTCCGCCTTTTAACAGCTGATGTGAAACTTTTAACTAGTTCTCAGTTGAGGATTTGGGCCACGTCTAGGTCTTTGGTGTTTCATTCGGTGCTGCGGCAAGACAAGTGGGCCCCCAAGTGGAAATGCTAGGTTAAAAGATGGACATAAGTGGGGGCGCCTGGGGGCTCAGTCGGTTAAGTGTCTGACTCTTGGTTTTGGCTCATTGTGATCTCAGGGTCATGAAATGGAGCCCCTCGTCAGGCTCTGTGCTGAGCACAGCGTCTGCTCACCCTCTCCCTCTGCTTCTCCCCCGACTTGCTCGCTCTCTCTCTCAAACAAATAAATAAATAAGTAAATAAAATCTTAAAAAAAAAACAAAACAAAAGCTGGATGTCATTAGCGGTGCCCGGGTGGCTCAGGTGGTTAAGTGTCCAACCCTTGATTTCAGCCCAGGTCTTGATCTTGGGGTTGTGAGTTGAAGCCCAGCGTTGGGCTCCTCGCTGGGTGTGGAGCCTACTTTAAAAAAAAAATTAAAAAGATGGGCATAATTAAACATTTTAGACTCTGGATACACACAGCCAAATTGCCTCCAAAAGTGGCTGGTCCAGTTTACACTTGTCCACGAGTCTGTGAGCGTATCAGCTTGCCTTGCCATCCCTGGGTGTTATGTTCATTTCAGTTTTTTGCCATTCCGATAGGTGATACATGACATCCTGGGCTGCGCTCCCCACCCCTTCTTTACTGATGGCTAGCTTAAACACACCTTTAGGATGTATATATTGAGGGGTCTGGACAAACCTGCGCCATTGTGTGACCACCACTCAGTAAAGATGGAGAACGTTTCTGTCCCCCCAGGCAGTCCCCTGTGCCCCTTTGTAGTTATTCTTCAGGCAACCACTCTTCTTAGTTTCCTTCCCGTTAGGTTAGTTGTGCCCGTTCTAGAAGAAAATATAAAACTGCACTAATTTTTAAAAATTTCTGGTAGTAAAAAAAAAAATTCTGGTTGTTTATTTATGTTTTGGTTTATTTATTTTATTGAGGTGGAATTCATATAGGGTAAAGTGAACCATTTTGAAGCGAACAATTCAGTGGCATTTAGAATACGCACACTGTTGTGTATCCACCACCTGCATCTAGTTCCCAGATACCTTCATCACCCCAGGAGGAAACTCCAGGAAGCAGTCACTCCCCAGTCCCCTTTCCCACCAGCCGCTCATGGCCTGGTTTACTAAAATATCAGAATGGACGGAGGCTCCCCCTGAGGCTTGCTGCTCCCTACCTCGAGGCTCTGGCTCTTGGGTTGGGGTGCTGGGGTCCCCAGGTGGGCTGATCTGACCTGCACCCCCGCCCCCTGCGGGGCTCACTCTCCCCCCGCAGAAAACTCTCCCCTGGCTCCTGGCAACAAGCTGGTCTTCTCATCCTACCCTGGCACACTCTTCTCCTCTGACGACTTCTACATCATGGGCAGTGGGCTGGTGAGTGTCCCTCCCGAGTGTGGCCTTTCTTCCCCTGGGCTGTGGGTCACCCGGCAGCTCTGGGCAGGTGGGTGGGCGCAACCCCCACCACCATCCCGTGCTGGGGCCTCTTCTGCTGTGGTACTTGGACCACGGGGAGGGGCGGGTGGCTTCTTACAATCGGATTCCCAGTCCCCGCTGGGGCCTGCCAAATCCTGCGGCCTCCCCGGACTCTCCATTCCACGAGCCAGCTCCTCAGCAATCAGCTCCTCAGCAGTCGCTGCTCTTGGGGCCCTTTTGCAATATCCTTGACCTTGACCTTAGTGACCCCCGTTTTGTTTGGCTGTCTTTAGCATAAGCCGTCCCTCCCTCCATCATGACCTTGCTGTTTCTCATCCTGCCTCCCCTCCTGCCTTCCTCAAACTCCCTCTAACCCGGCCAGGTTTTCTGAATAAGTTGTTTACAATGTGTTGTTTTTATTGGATTTCCTGGCTGAGGCCCAGGCTCGTTTAGAAATCTGTTCCTGGCACCCCTCGCTGGGGCATTGAGCCCTGAGATTGCAACATGCAGAGAAGAAAACATCGCTCTAAAAAACACGCTCCAAGCAGAAGATGCTAGTTTCCCTGCAGGAGCAGCGACAAGGGACTCTTTCCTGCTCTGCTACCTTCTGAGAGAAGTGAGGGGCTTAGTCCCCTGAAATGGGGAAAGAGGCGGGTGAGGGCCAGGTTGTAGGTGAGGGGACCCCCTTGCTGCAGTCCGGCGGGGGCAAGGAGGGGACAGTCTGGGGAAGGACAGCTGAGGAGGTCTCATCCAGTTACCTGGGAGGGATCCCGGCAGGAAATGCACCTTCCATTGGGGTCTCTAACTGTTGTTATGCCACAGAGCCCTTTGGCAGTCTGGGGGGCTGTGAACCCCATCTCCGAGTAACGTTTTCAAATGTATAAACCAAAATGGTATGGGATCATAAAGGAATTCAGTGATATTAAAGTGTGTTTAGCGAAATATTACATAAATAACCTTTTAATATTATATATGCGCTGCTTTGTGAACTTACTAAATAACAAGCTCTGGGAGTGGGTGTGCTAACTACCATAACTTCGAAGGAACAGGGAGCATAAATGATGTTTTGAGATGGGTGCAACCCTGTCATATGGTGGGAACACATCTGATCTCTGTTGGTGACAGGTCTCAGGTACCACTCATGTCACAGTGGCGGGTCACTCGTGCTCACAACGTCAGGAGGTGCTGAGTTCCAGTTTGGTGGCAGTGGGAAGGAAGAGGTGGTGTTTTCCCCTCCAAGTCTGCAGACTCCCTGAGTACTACCCCAGGTTCAGAACTACCCCCGGCCCGAGAGGGCAAACTGCCTCCCAGGGCTTTCTGGGCCACACTGATCTGAAGCCTGGCAGTGACTCTGGATGCCAAGAGCAGCTGGTTGAGGGACAAGGAAGGTACAGGCTGGAAGGACTGGAAGGAGGTGTTCCCACCCGGGCGGTGCTCTCTAGAGGCTTGCCTTCCAGATTCTTCTTTTAAACATCACATTTATGGCTCTTGCTATCTTTTAGCTGGTTTCTGGACTTCGTAAAAGGAGGAGGCATGCTAATAATCCTGGTGTAGAGGAACAAGCATTGATTTAAGAGCTGGAAGTTTGCTGATGGAACAGTGGCCCATCCCCTGACCAGCCATGACCTTTGGCATGTCTCTTAGCTTCTTCAGGCCTCAGTTTACCTTTCAGTAAAAAGGGGCATTAGTAGCCATGCTGTGTTTTTCCCAGGAGGGCTGGAAGAAGTCAGTGAGACTGTGGCAGTCTACCAGGCTAACAGCCTCGAGCCACCCGACTTTCCCCGCAAAACTGCAAGGAAGGGAAAGAAATAGGATGCTGTCTCTCCGGGGAAAGAGTTGACGGACTTGGTTGGGGGATCGGGTCCATATGAGCAGCACCTTGGGCTCTCCCAGGGGCTGTTCCCCGGGGCAAAGCTAGATGCATGATCGTGAATCCCCCTCAGCGCTCAGCCAGGGAACCAGTGAGGAATGTGCACCCAAAGCAGCACATGAGGTTTTAAAAAATCTGTAGTGTACGGACCATGATTGATGCAGCACTGCCACTTGGTGGCAGCATGCCCTGGTCCTAAGTCAGGGGCCTTCCCACAGGTGACACTGGAGACCACCATTGGCAACAGGAACCCGGCCCTCTGGAAATATGTGCATCCCAAGGACTGTGTGCTGGAGTGGTTGCGTAATGTGGTGGCCAACCGCTTGGCCTTGGACGGGGACGCCTGGGCAGACACCTTCAAGAGGTTCAACAGTGGCACGTGAGTGGGCTCCTGGCACTGTGGCCTCCTCACCCAAGAGATGGGCCAACCTCCCCCCTCAACAGTCAGAGCCCAGGGGACCTGATGTGGCATCAGGGCCACATGCCGCACACCCTCTGCAGAGCCCTCTCACAGTTACTGCTGGAGTTGGAAGGTGTCTTAAAGTCTTCTCCCTTGTTTTATACTTAGGGAAACTGGGTCTTTGCCTCTCTCCTGAAGGCTCTTCCATCCAGGGAAGGGCCCCCAGAGGGAGGCCAGGAAGAGAACTTGGGATTTGAGGGCTCTGGAGATGGGGAGGGCCATCTGAGCAAGTGGGCACAGGTGGGTGAGGGCCCTGGGAGCCAGAGACACTGGAGCCAGATAGTGCAGGGTCTTAGAATGTCAGGCTAAAGAATTAAGATCTTTATTCCAATAAGCACTAGGGAGCTATAGACTTCTCTGGAGCAGACAGAGGATACCTGGTCAAGCTGCAGTGTTAGGGTGACAGTCAGATGGCAGGACACCCCCCATGCCACCCCTTCCCCTTGATTCCTGGCAGTGTGGGGCACTGGGGCATGGGGGAGGCTGGGGCCGTGGCCCTGGCCCCAAGGTATGTTCAGTCCTTCCTTGGGCATGGCAGGTACAACAACCAGTGGATGATCGTGGACTACAAGGCATTCATCCCTGGCGGGCCCAGTCCCAGGAACAGGGTGCTCACCATCCTGGAGCAGATCCCGTGAGTACCCTGGGAAGGAAAGCAGGGGGTTCCAGGCAGAGGGAACTGCCTAGGAAAAAGTCTGGAGGCATGCTGGAATGTGTGTGGCAAGGCGAACATCTGAGGAAGGCCAGGTGGGAGGGGGAGGCAGCCCCTGAATGGGGTGGAAGGGTCCAGGACCCAATCTACCTCTGGGCACTGGGGAGCCATCAGGGGTTCTTGAGCAGGGCAGTGCCCACAGGTGCCCTTTTTCTCACCAGTCTTGCCCCATTTCTCTTCTTGGTCCCAGGGGCATGGTGGTGGTGGCCGATAAGACCTTAGAACTCTACCAGAAGACCTACTGGGCCAGCTACAACATACCGTATGTCCCCATCCCTGCCCCATACCTGCCTCACCCCTACTCAGTTCTCTGTTCTGGTCAGGGGTCCTTCCCTGCATGAGCTTTTCAACCCGCAGAGCAAAGAAGCCACCCTGGCCTTTCTTTGGCCGGGAAAGCCCTGCCAGTTTGGGGGCACAGTGGTGGGGCTTAGGTCTGCGGCCCACAGTGTATGGGGGTGGGGGTGGCCAGGCTCAGGTGCCGACCCCTGCCGAGGCTCGCCCACTGCGTCTCCTGTAACCGGGCTGCACAGCCATCACCTCTGGACACTCACTGTGCCCTGCCAAATGAGAGATTTGGTCCTTACAACCACCGCACGGTAGCCACGGCCGCTGTTCCCATTTCACAGATGAGGAAACTGAGGCGTCCAGCGAATGCCTAACTTTCCCTAGGCGAGTTCCCCAGCTGTTCAGCGATGAAGTCAGCATCTGAACCCATGTCTCTTGGCCCGCAGAGCCTAAGCTTGGTCACCCAGGCAAGCCACCCCCCGGCATAAACAGAAGACAGGACTTGCTGTCCTGTTGTGGTTGTCAGTGATAATATTCTGGTGTGACGGCCCCTCTGCCTCCCCGGCCGCAGCCAGCGTGGGCAGGGGTGGTGAGTGACCATTCTTATCCCCCGCAGGTACTTTGAGAGTGTGTTCAATGCCAGTGGGCTGCAGGCCCTGGTGGCCCAGTACGGGGACTGGTTCTCCTATGATGGGAGCCCCCGGGCCCAAATCTTCCGGCGGAATCAGTCGCTGGTGCATGACCTGGACTCCATGCTCCGGCTCATGAGGTGCGTGGGGGAGAGTGAGCCCCGAGTCCTGTAGAGCTTTGCGTGCACGTCTCTGGCCCCCGTGTCAACCTCGCCATGAGCCCGGGGGTCATAGGGTGGTGGCCAGCCGTAACTACATGTTACAGGTGAGGGTGCTGACCTGCCACTGAGTGGCCCCCTGCCCAGTGCTGGGCACTGTGCTCGGTACCGGAGGAACGGCACGAAGCGGAGAGCCCCCTGGCTGTGGCTGGAGATGCGAAATCCGTCAAGCACTCACACTGATGTGGGTGCCGGGGCGAGGACGGAATGAGCCCCTAGAACTGCTATGAAGGGGCACAGTGGGCTATCTAGCCTGGATTGGGGTTGGGGGCCCGGAGGGGCCCTGGAGGAGGGCTGCCTGAGCAGATGTGAGGGTGGGCATGGAATGACGAGGTGAAGGGTGAAGGAAGTCCCCCGCTGGGGGTGGGGGGGTGCGGGGGAGCTTGGCACGGGAACGCAGGTGGCTTGTTTCAGGGCTGCCGCCACCAGGAGCTCAGCCTCCCCTTCCCAGCACTCCTGATGCCCCCTCCTTTCCCACGCCCAGGTACAATGACTTCCTGCACGACCCCCTGTCGCTTTGCAAAGCCTGCAACCCCCAGGCCAACGCAGAGAACGCCATCTCGGCCCGCTCTGACCTGAACCCAGCCAACGGCTCCTACCCTTTCCAGGCCCTGCACCAGCGCTCCCACGGGGGCATAGATGTTAAGGTGCTGCCCTGCCCGGGGCCTGGGGTCAGGGGGCTTGGATGCCATCATCACTGGGGGTGGGTGGGGGGGTAGGATGAAGGCTGGGGTCAGGGCAGATGGCGGGGTGGGGGGCAGGGTTGGCATGGGGCTGCAGGTGGGGTCAAAGTTAGGGCTGGGATCAGGGCCCTCTGGATTGGGGCAGCTCCAAGCCCAGCCTGGGGCTGGTGCTCAGTGACCTCTGCCCTGGCCCCCAGGTGACCAGCATGGCACTGGCCAGGGCCTTTCGCATCATTGCCGTCAGTGGCCCTACGTGGGACCAGCTGCCTCCGTTCCAGTGGAGCTCCTCGCCCTTCAGTGGCCTGCTGCACATGGGCCAGCCTGACCTCTGGAAGTTCTCACCCATCGAGGTCTGGTGGGACTGAGTCTCGTTCTCTGCCCTGCTGACCCCCAGTGGGGCCACCCTCGGCCACCACCCTGACCTCCTGCCCACCCCCTCTGTGGGCTTCGTCCTCTGCTGTGCCTGGATCAGGGACCTGGGTCTGCCAGGTTCACTCTCATCTGGGTCGTCTCTTAGGTGGGACGCGGGGCCCGACGGGACCCAGAACTGACTCGTTCGCTCCCCTTAAGTGAGGGAATGCCTCCCCTGTCCCCTGCCTCTCTGCATCTCTCCCTCTCTACTCTCTCTCTACTCTGTCTGCTTCTCTCTTCTGTGCTGGGGTCCTGTCCTCACATGCTGCCCCCTCTTGAGGGCTTGGGAGGGGTCCTCGGATGGGGTTTCGGGCCGCTGGTAGAGCAGAGGGGACCATTCCAGTTCCTGCCTCTCAGTGTCATTCCTGCCGGTGGCTCTGGGACTTGTGGGGTTTCGGCCCCAGGACCTGGGCATTGCCTCTGGTTGACATCGGTCTTTCCATCTCCCAGCCCCAGCCACTCTGCTTCCCTCAGGAAGCAGCCCCCTTGTTTCCCCTTCTGGACAGCTTTCCTGAGGACAGAAACTTGAAAACAAACAAAAACCAAAGTTTCTGGTGACTTGTGGCTGGAGGGGTCTTCAGGGGCAGACAAGAGTGTCACCCTCTATGCTGCAGCCTCATGCCCCCTGCCCCCAACTTGCTCCTGCCCCTAGCCTCAAGACAGTGCCCACAGCTCCCCTGCTGTAAGAACCAAATTGCAGGCTGTGCTGCCATTAAAGGAGAGGCTGTGGCCCCTGTGCTGTGTCTTTTGGATAGTGGGGAAGGCTGGGCTGGTGCCCTTTCTCCTCTTTGGTTTGGGTTCTACACCATCCACCCATGCATTCTCCTGTCCATTCTTCTGTCTACTCATCTGTCATGTATTCATCTGCTAACCCACCTACCCATTGTCCATCTGCACGGTCTTCCACCCATCCATCCATCTACTCATCTGTCCATCCATCCACCCACCCACCCCCCAACCACCCATCCATTTACCCATCCATCCATCCGTCCATCCATCCATCCATCCATCCATCCATTTTCTGTCTACCCATCTATTCATCTGTCATCCATCCATCAATCCATCTGTCTATTCATTTATCTATATCCATCTCTCCATCCATTCATCCATCTGTCCATCCATCCATCCAGATGTTCTTGAGCACCTACTTTGTTCTGGGTACTATCCCAGGGCCTGGTTAACCAACAAGACTTTCCCAGGTTCCACTGTGGGATACAGGTCAACACAAAACAGAGTCTGTCACCATCTGATCTTAGCCAGCTGGTCGACCCCAGCCCTCCACGCCTCAGCTCTTACAGTGGACAGAGGGGTCTGCCTTGCCTTTTGAGGGGGTTTTGTGCTGATTCAAGTGGGACAGTTGAGGCTGGAAGTGATCTTCTGGACAGGTTTTCTTCAACTGAGTACCACTCTGTCCCCCAGAAAGAATTCTGGAGCCAAAGGGCTGATGGTTTGCTGTCCTTGCCAGCCTGCCTTTGATGTCCCATTCCCTATAAAATACATGTCTGTCCCTGCTGGCTGGAAATCAGTGGATGAGCCTGTGTCCAGGGTGGGTTTGGGGTGGGTTTTACACTCTCCCCTGTATCTCACACCGCCTGCTGTTTGTCGGGGTGGTTAGGGGCTCTGTAGGCCCGTGTGGATCAGCGTCATGTCTTGAGGGGCTAGAGGGGTCTCAAACTTCACTCTGAACTTGGAGATTCAGTGAATTGCCTGGGGCTGCTATGGGTGGTGTGGTGGTGTCCCCTCCCAGACCTCGAGGAGCCCTGGCAGGCCGTCTTCTGTTTCCATATGCTGGCGTCAACACATGCTCTCCTTGGAAAACAGGGTTTCTTGTCTGAGAGGATTTGCATGGCATTCACTTTAAGTCTTTTCCTTCTGAGTCCCTGACATGGGTGTCCAGGGTCAGTTTACACACCCCCAGTGATGGGAGGCTCACTACTCTGCTCCCAGTGGTTCTGAGATCAAGTCCTTCTGATACCAGGAAGGACTTCCTGTCAGAATGAGGCCAGCCTCCTCTGCCTCTTGGGCTGGGAGTTGGTTCTGCCTCCAGTGGAGGCAGCCCTTGCCCCAGCTCTTGCTCAGCTCCCTCCCTTCCTGCTTTCTGTCTCCCGGCATGCAAGTCCAGCTGGGAGCAGGGTCCTGGCCCCCATGTCCATGGGGTGCCAAGGTTCCAGGGGGCAGGGGGCAGGGCTACAAGCAGGCAGGTGAGAGGAGGGGAGGGAGGGAGGCAGAAGGAGAAACTCAAAAGGATCTTCATTTCATAAATACATTTTTTTCTTTTTCAATGAAAAAGCTGCAATTAGAAAAATGACTGGGGGTGGGCAGGGCCAGGCTGGGCTTCCTGGGGGAGAGGACAGGTGGTTCTCAGTCCTGGACCACGGCCCTGTGCGTCTTTTAGGGAGGAGGCCCGTCCTGCTGCAATCCCTGTCCCTCCTGCCCACCCTCGCTGGGGACCTGGTATGGGACACACAGGTGGCCGTCACCAGCCACGGTGGCTAGGGACAGTCACAGAGCTGCTGCACAGAGGCCCGAGAGGTTCAGTTCACGGCCTTGCTGGCTGCCGGCCCGGCTCCCCCTTGGAGCTGCGGCCCCTTGGCACAGTGGGCTCGTGGGACCGAGAAGGGAACTGACTGGTCTGGGCCGCAGGCTCCCAGGCAGACACAAGGATAATATTTACAGCGAGGTGCTGGATAAAACTCCAGCTCCACCAGGGGTGCCCCCGGAAGGGAAGGCAGGCGGGCGGGGAAGGGCCCTCACTTGGGCAGCCCATTCTTCATGCCCAGCTGTTCCTTGAGGGCCCGCAGCTGGCCCAGACTGATGTTGCTGCCGCCACAGACAATGACCACGAGGGAGGACAGCGGAGCCCGGAGCTTGCCCTCTCCTTGCAGCTTCTGAACCACGCGGCTGTACACGGCGGCCAGGGCTGCCCCACAGGCAGGCTCCACCAGGATCTTCTCGTCATCTGCGGAGGAGGGCGGATGAGGGTGGGGCCCGGGTGCAGGGGCACTGTTGGGCCATTGGGAAAGCCTGAGGGCTGTGAGCCACTCGGCTCTTGGCCCTGGCCACAGACTCAGGTCCCAGGCTAAACGTCCCCTCACTACCCCAGCTTGACCTCCCAAGTCCTGATCCATGGCGGGGTTTCATTATGAGTGCGCGCACTGATAAAATGATTGTAACTTCCCGAGCTCTGTGTTGAGAAGGCTTGAATCATCACCCGAGCAAGACTGCCATGGTTGATGAGCCAAACCGAGTGCTAGTACAGGGGCTTAAGTGGTAGAGTTTACCGTGTGTGTGTGTGTGTGTGTGTGTGTGCGCGCGCGCGCGCGTGCACATCATCCCCTGTGCTAGGCTGAACCCAGGAGTGCAGCCTACTTACAGACCCATTTCTGAAGCCAACCCTGCGACCCATACTTTCCGTTTCCCCCCTGGGCTACTAGGAAGCTCAGAGTCCGCATTTTAAATACTTTGTTATTATTCCCTGCTGTCATGGTTGTCAGGCTTACTTCTTCACTTGTGGCTTTGACCTTTCTCTTTTCACCGCTGCCTTGTATTACCTTTCATTAGTGGGAAGTTCTAGGAAGGGATGGGAAATAGGACTGTGAAGAAAATTCGCAGTGAATGGGATCTCTTAGGACACCGCGTGGACAGCCAGTTAAGTCCTGAACCAGCAGGTCAGGTCTTGAAAGGACTCGGCACATACCCACAAACTTCTCAATGGCGGCCACAGCCTCCTGGTCCGAGATGACTTCAGAGAAGATGGGGTGCTCCTGAAACAGCTTCAGGGCCTGAGCCCCCACGGTCTTCACGCACAGGGCCTTGGCCACACTGGGAGAGCGGGCATGGAAGAGGATGGGAATGGGGGAACGGAGGAAGGAGCCAGAGATTGGGATGAGGAGGGGTAGAAAGAGAAAGATGGAGTTGAGAGGGAAGACGGAAGCAGGGTCTGTGGGCAGGTGCAAAGCACCGAAAGGCCCCAGGGGATCCCCGACAGAGTGAGGTCTTCGAATAAGGCACAGAGGCTTCACGGGGGGGTAAAGAGCTTATTGTGCTCAACACCGACTGAGCAACAAACACCTGAGAGGCCCCTTGCGATTCCCGGAAAGGACACTGCCTGCCCGGGGCCTTGCCCTGTCCTTCAGGGCTCAGTGTTAAGGCCACCTCCTCCAAGGAGTCCTCCAGGGAGAGCACTCGGTCCTCCCCCGTGACACGGGCATAGTGACTATTTCTTGAGGAAGTATTAGGTGTCAAGGATTTTGCAAGCATTATTTAATTCTCACAACTGTTTTTGCTGTTTGTTGGTTCAATTTTATGGGAGAGGAAACCAAGGCAGAGACCGTGTGGGTCACTTGCCTGAAGTTACCTGCCTAGGGAGTGGTGGTGCAGGCACCTCAAGCAGGATCCTTGTAATTCCGGGACCGGCACTCGCAATCAGTGCGTTCACTCCCCCTGCCTTCCGTGGAGTCTTCACTGGTTCTATTCCCAGCTCGCCCAGGAGCACCTGGGGCCTGAATCACCTTTGCCCTAAGCCCAGCATGTGGCTCACAGCAATTATTTCCTCAATCCCAACAGTGCAGGATCAGAGCCCAACATGGTGGCTCCTGAGAGCCAGGCTCAGGAATCCAGAATCCTGGACTCCGTCTTCCCTATCTGTGGTAAGGACTTGTCTACCCAATATCTGTTCTAGCTGCGCAAGTGGAGACCTGGTAGGAAGGCATTTCCCAGCCTCCCTTGCAGTAGCTGTGGCCATGTGACTAAGTTCTGGCCAATGAGAGCTAAGTGGAAGTACTGCATCTGTCTTTAAAGGGAAGGGGCATCACTTCTGCCCTCCCTTTCTCCTCCTGCCAGTTGGAGTGTGGGTGTGATAGTTGGCACTTAAGCAGCTGTTTTGGGCCATAGGGCTACATGATGAGAATGGAGAACAAACTCAAGGAACCTGCACTCTGGCTTCATGGAGCCCTGGACTGACTTATAGACCTATTTTTCATTTTATGTAAGAGAGGAAGTGAGGATCAGTCTGGTTTAAGTCATTGTTATTTGTGGCTCCTGTATAATGCGTCAAACCTAATCCTGATTACCATCTGTCAAAGGTTCGGGGCTGGGATATGAATGCTTTGGGAGCAGGGGCCGTGTTTATTCACCACTCTGCCCCAGGATCAGCAGTGCTTGCACATATTAGGGGCCCAGTAAATGGTTGGCAAATTAATGAGGTGTATAAAACCCCTGTCACAGGGCACTCACTAAATGCTTAGCATTGGACTCTTCATGTGAGGCAGCATGACGTTCATGGTACTGAGTCATGTAGACTCGGGTTCAGTCCCAGCAGTACCACTCACTGGCTGTGTGACTCTGGGCAAGTGACCAGAGCCTCGGTTTCCTCATCTGTAAAATGGGACTGACATGGGGGTTCTGCCTCGCAGCCAGCCCCGAGCTGGGCTCCCCGACGGAGGCAGCCCTGCTGCTCACCTGGTAACCTGGGGCAGGGAGACGAGCTTGCCGGCAGTGGTGGCAGCATGGAAGCTGTGGGCTCCAGCGGTCTCCATGGCGATGATGGGCACGTCCCCCCAGCCCACCTCCTGCAGCCCCTGGACCACTCCGCACAGCAGGCCCCCGCCACCCACCGACAGCGCAATGGCCCCTGGCTTTGCGCTCAGCGTCTCCTTCAGCTCCTTCACGATGGAAGTGTGGCCTTCCCTGGAGGGGGGAGCGGGGGGGGGGAGGTCAGGGCTGGGCTCCCTGGAGACCCCATGCAGGGGTCCTGCCACTCATCCTCATCCCCGGCAGCCGATGGGCTTTGGGCTAGTCGCCTCCTCCCTGACTCCACCCCCATGTCTAGCCGCCAGCACCAGCGTGTCGACCCAAGGGCTTCCTCTGGCCACTGGAGCTGCCTGCAAATGTGTCAGGGAGGACAGCCCCGGAGAGCGGCCCGCGGCCAACGTCTGTGGGGACCCAGAATGGTGGCATTTGGTGTATCAGCTCCCCAGCACGCTCTCCCACAGCTGGATCACTCTGGTTTGAGTTCCACGCTGGCTCCCAGCACCCCCCCCCCACCATGAAGTAAGCTCCAGCTGCCCACCTCCATGGCAGTCGCCTAACCACAAGAGCCCTTTATCAGCTTCCTTCTGGCCCCGGCTCCCTCCTGCCTTCTCTGATGCATCATCACCCAGGTAAACTGCTTTCCCCGAAATCTTTGTCTCCAGTCGGCTTTCTGGGGGCCTGGCTGCAGGTACCTGTGCATCTGAGCTCACACATTCACTCCTGGCCGTGGGGAACGGGCACTGGCACACGTGTGTGTGCACCTGCTGTCGTGTCTGATGGCGTGCACACACGTGCAGCTGCTGCGCCCAGGGGTGTGAAGACACGCACTGTGGTAGGTGCCCACCCAGGGGTGTAGCGGGTGGACGCCACCCGCACCAGGGGCCTCTGGGCTCCACATACCAGATGAGGGGGTCGTCAAAGGGAGGAATGTAGACCCAGCCTGGGTTGTTCTTTGCCAGGGCCTTGGCCAGCTCGAAGGCTTCATCCAACATCTGCAAGACCACGGAGGAGGTCGGAGAGGTGAGGGGCCGGGAGACCCTGCCCTGCCACCAGGCGCCCTCCGCGGTCCCTGCCCTGGCTTGGTACTCACCTCGCCCACCACCTTGACTATGGCACCCTCATTCTTGAGCCGCTCAATGGTGAGGGCAGGGGTGGTGCTGGGCACAACGATGGTGGCAGGGATGCCCAGCTTCCTGGCGGCATAGGCGGCTGCCATGCCCGCGTTGCCCGCTGCCAGGGATGGGGGTTGGAGAGTGTGTCAGTGCAGGAGGGCCTGGGAGCCCGGCCGGGACCACTCCCCCCAACCCTGGGGTTCTGAACACCTCCCCGAGTGACTGCTCCCCTCCCCTGGAATTCCAAATCCGGACTGCTGCAGATGTTTGTCCTGGCTCGTTGCTAGGGAAACCAGGGTCCAGAGAGGTGGAGCTCCTAGCCCAGGGACACACAGCAGGGCACAGGAAGGGGCATGCAGGCTACTTACCTGAAGAGCAGACGAAATGTTCACAGCCTTGCTCAGCCCACTGTGGAGACAAGGGGGGAGGTGAGGCCCACCTCCCAATCTTCCACTGGGCTCTCCCCTCCCACGTGGAGTGCTTCCCAGTGATTCCGATGTACCCCTGGCCCCTCCTTCCTTCACACAGACTTTGTGCCGCCCTAGCCTCTCGGACGACATCGCCTCTGCCCAAAGAGACTGGCTCAGGGAAGGGCGGGGAGCAGGCAAATGATGGCTCTGGGATCAGTCCATGAGGAGACCCTCTTGGGTGGGCACCCCTTCGCTAGGCATTGTGGGAGTCAGTACACAACACTGGCCTTGCCCGGTTGAGGATAAAGGACCTGCCACCCTTGCTCAGATGATACGGAGCCCATCCCGTACCATCTTGCAGAGGTGTCCAATGCCCCGGATCTTGAAGGAGCCTGACGGTTGGGCACTGTCCATCTTGAGGTAGACGCTGGTGCCTGCCACTTTGGACAGGGACATGCTGTCACGGATGGGGGTTTTGACGTGCAGGGGCTCTCCAGACGTCATTGCTGGGAGGAAGGAAGGACACCCAGATGGTCAGGAGAGCCGGCTGTGGTGCCAGCCGTGGCCACATAGCCCTCAGCATGCCTGCGAGTGACCCCTGCCCTCGCTTCCCACGAACCCAGATGGGGAGCATCCTGGAGACCTGAATTCAAATCTCAACTGAGCCACCTACTCACCAGGTGACATCACGCAAGCAATCCCCCCTCAGCCTCAGCTGCCTCATCTGTAAAATGGGGACAAGGACCCCCCCCACCCCCGCACACACACACAACATGCTGGGAAGTTGTGAGCATCAGAAAAAGCATTCAGACCTTGCACCTTTCAAGGGGTGTGAGATGGGGATGGATTTGCAGGTGCTGAGTCAGAGTGAGCTTCCAGATGGTTCAGTGCTAAAGAAGGGGCAGGACAGCAGGTATAGTCTATTTGTGCAAAAACACGGGGACGCACACACACACACATAATCCATAAGCTTCTGTGTGCACAGAACATCTCAGGAAACAAGAAACTCATGAGGGAGAGGGACTTCTGGGGATAGCTGGCACTCATCATCCCTTTTGTGCTGTTTGAATGTTTTATTGTGTATAGGAATTATCTATTTAAATGCACGAATATTTTTCATACTAACCTTTGGAAAGCCCCATACCCAGTTAGAATAGACTTTTTATAATAATTATTATATTATGTAATGACCACTTCTAGAGTGATTACCATGTGCCATGCACTGTTTTAAGCTTTACAGACATTAATGCATTTAATCCTTTTAACAATCCTAGGAGGTGCATTATTAGTCCATTCTCCTGATGAGGAACAAGGCTCAGATTGTGTTTCCCAGAATGGCCATCCCACACGCATCTTTTATGACGTGACACTGATGCTTTTCTCAGTGAGAGGTGGGGTCTGTGCTTCCTGCCCTTGGACCCTGGAGGAGGGGGTGGTCTGTTGGCTGCAGGGGGAAGGGACACTCGGTGGCTTCCAAGCAGCGCAGCACTGGTGAATGTTTAACAGTGGACTCTGCAAAGAAACATCAAGCCCTGATTTGCCGTGTGTGCACTTCTGTGCTGTACATAACCTTCACAAAAGCCATTTTCAAGCTACCAACATGATGTCACTGAGTGTGGAGCTGGGAAGAGATGGCACAGTCTGTTCTCCAGAGCCCGTGTGAGCCGGCTCACTCCAGTCTGTGTGAGCCGGCTCACTCCAGTCCGTGTGAGCTGGCTCACCCCAGCCCCCAGCTCCCCCTTCCAGGGAAGGGGACACAGCCTCCACAGGGCTGTCTCTCTTGGGCAGCTCCATCTCAAACCCCAGCTGCCTCGATGGGAGTAAGCCCAGGCCACATGCAGAGGCCACATGTAGATGCCCTACCTGACAGCGGATGGCCAGCGTCACCTGCCAGACATGGGGGGTGACCTCGAGACGTTACCAGCTATCATCACACTGCAGCCATCTGAGAGACCCCATTGAGAATTGCCTGCTGAGCCCAATTAAGCCCCAGAGCCCCGACAGACAACAATACAATGATTGCTGTTAGGTCACCACGCCTTGGGGCAGTTTGTCACACAGGAATAGGGACCTGAATATTAATGTGACTTGCCCAAGGCCACACAGCCAGGGAGAGGCAGGATTTGAATTCAGACAGTCTAGCATGGGAGCTAGGCTCTCTCCAGGACCATGGGTGTGGCTCAGGCCTCCCCGTCTGGACCGACTCTGAGTGATCAAGAAGCTGATGTGTTCCAGAGTCTGGCCACATACGTGCAGCCCTTTTTCCTCCTCTTCTGGATTCTCCCCCGTTTGGGCTGAGCCAGAATTTGATCAGTAGGTGGTTGGGTGAGTAGCCTATCTGGTTCCCCACCCCCACCCCGGATCTTCCCCCATCCTAGAAGGCCAAGCAAAGCTGGCTCTCTCTCCCCACATCCCACCCCATTTCCAATGACACCACCTGGGACAGCCCTAACCCTCGGCCACCACCCCTCCCAGATTGGGCTAGATATGCCTGGGTCAGAAGAAAAGTGAGGGATGGGGTTCCTGACCACCCCACCAGCCTTAGCACCCCCAAATAGGGATAGCTCATGTCTGTCTGAACGAACTAACATTCAGGGTCTGGGAGGGGGTGCTCTCCCCTAGATCTCTTGAACCAAAGCCAAGGACTAGAGGCACTCCATTACAGGAGCGTCCCCATATCTGTTTGAATTAATGTTAATTAGCCTTCTGGAGGTTATCCCTGAAACAATGGCACCCCGTTCTGGCTGAGTGGACCTTGTGCACGTTGCCAAGCCCTGGCCTCAGGGAGCTCTCCTGGTTGGGTGTGGGAGGCATCCCCCACAAGACCCTTTCGGGTGGATTTGGGAAGCCTCCTCCCCCACCTCTGTCTGGTTGCAGCATGGGATACCTTCAGGTGAGGGGCAGGGACCCCCTATGGCACCACTCCCTCCAGCACAACATCCTGAGGTTGTGCCAAACATGGACGGGGGAGGGCTCTGGAAGCTGCTATCTGCCTTACATGTCCCCTCTTGGTCAGAACTCACTCTCCCCTCACTTGGCTCATAGCAAGAGCTCAATAAAAACGAACTATTATTATATCTGACCGGACATTCTAAGTGCATGATCTCATTTCACCTTTACAACAGCCTTACAAGTAAGGGTCTGTTATTATTCCCATTTTAGAGATGAGAAACCTGAGGCCCAGAGCTAGATGCTGACCCAGCCAGTCTGGCTTCAAAGCATGGGTTTCTATGCGCAACTGACTCTACCTCCTCTCTTCCCCTGGAGCCCCCGTCCTGCCCACCCCTGGCCGCAGGCACTCCAGACTGCGGTGGGGCTGAGGAGGGGGTACTTACCTGGCCAAGGTGGTGGAGCTGGGCGGCTGGGACAGAGGGAGTAAACCGGGAAGGGATAGACTGGAGATGCTATAGGTGGAGAGACGGTAGAGTCCTCGGAGAGATGGAGAGTAGATGGACAGGTAGAATGTCTCCTGAATTGTCCTGAGGGCTACGGGTCTGGGGCTTTGGTCGGGGCTTTATCCCCAGGGCGCCTCCGGGCAGCCAATGGGGACCCAGGGCTGGCCCCGCCCCCTGGCCCGCTGCCCGGGGGCTTCCAGGAGGCGAGGGGGAAGCTGGCTGCACTTCTGCTGGCGGCTTCCTCCCTGCTCTCCCCCATTCACCCCTCCCCTTCCCCATCCTCAACTTCTTCACTGGCTAGTGGGAACAATACCTGCTTCCCAAGGACTGTTCCCAAGGGCTTGCCAGAGGATGGCGTGAGACAGTGCGCTTCCCCTCACTAGCATGTGCTTGGCACATTGTAGGCACCCAGGAAACAAACCACCGGAGGAAGTGGGTACTCTTATTATCCTCATTTTACAGAAAGGGAGGCTGAGACCCAGAGAGCAAGAGAGATGAGCTGGCATTTGAACCCAGTCTGCCTGCTGCAATGTGAATGACCTCTCCTGTCATCCTTTATGACTCTTTTGTCTTGAAGGGGCAGATGGCTTTATGGGTATGACCCAGGCGGCTCAGCGTTCAAATCCTGGCTCTGCCATTTACCAGCTGTGTGGTCCTGGGCAGGTCAGTTTGCCTCCTGGAACCTCTCTTTGCTCATCTGTAAAATGGGGATGAAAATGGAGCGACTCTCCTCGAATGAGATGACATAATAATGTATGTGTATGTAAGGGGCCTGGAACTGAGTGTTCAGTAAGTGTTAGTAGCCATCATCATCTTCATCATCACATGCACCTGAACTCACTCCCACCCGGTGCCCGGCCTCCTGTCTGTCCCTGGCTGTCTGCAGGGGTCTGTATGTCCGCAGGGGTGGTGTGCCCAAACACGTCCGGCCGGATCTTTTCCTGGTCCCCTCAACAAAGATCTCTTGTCCGGCCGGCCAGGATGAGAATAGCAATGAGACAGAGGGCAATGAGGGCACAAACAGCCCGCACAGCCGTCCCTCTCTGTGGGACAAGCTGACCTTCCGCAGGCGCTCCCAAGCCCCCTCCTCAGCGGGAAGTCCACGCGCATGCGCTGGAGGTACAGGGGTCGGGGGCAGAACTGAAGCCACGTGGGCACCTTGAAGTTCCCATGTGGACACAGCTTCCCTGGGTGCATCTGAGTGTATACAGTCGGCACTCACATGGCCCAAGCCCCTGCTTGTGCCTGATCCCCTGCCAAGTGTTGCTACGTGGGGTTTCACTCAACTCTCAAACCACCAGGTGAGCGGGCATTTTGAGTCCCATGTTAAGAGTGAGCAGAAAGGCTCAGGAATTCTGAGCCCTTTGCAGACACAGGGCTGATGAAAGGGTGCAGGTGGGGGCGGGGTGGGGGTGGGGCATCTGGCCCAGCTTGGTCACATTCAGAGGACCCAGATGTAGGCTTTGCGTGCTATGCCCATGTGAGGTTATCCACTTTGCCAGGGGGCTATCTCTTTTTTTAAAATTTTTTATTGTTATGTTAATCACCATACATTACATCATTAGTTTTTGATGTAGTGTTCCATGATTCATCGTTTGTGCATAACACCCAGTGCTCCACGCAGAACGTGCCCTCCTTAATACCCATCACCAGGCTAACCCATCCCCCACCCCCTCCCCTCTAGAACCCTCAGTTTGTTTTTCAGAGTCCATCATCTCTCATGGTTCAGGGGGCTGACTATCTCTTGATGTCGGATTCCTCTCCTCTCCCAAGCAGCAGCGCTATGACTGGGGGAAGGCAGAGAGCGCAAGGGGTAGAACAAGACGATTCTGTCCTTCCTAAGACCTCTGTATATTGTTCCATTTGTTTCAACAAGAATGCATCACTGTTGTGATTTGAAAACCACCACATTCAGAAAATCAATCACATAAGGACAGAAAAGAGGGATGTTGTTGATATCTTGTCTGAGCGTATCCTTTTTTAAAAAATAATAACTCTATTAAGATATAATTCACATACCATAGACTTCACCCATTTATGGAGTATCAGTTTTAGAACACTTCATCAGCCCAAAGAAATCCCATACCTATTCCCAGTTGCTCCCCTTTCCCCCACCCAGCAGCCCCCAGTAATCACCAGTCTGCTTTCTGTCTCTGTGGATTCTTCTGTTCTGGACATTTCATATCAATGGAATCATGACCTTTTGTGTCTGGCTTCTTTTGTGTCTGGCTTCTTTCCCTCAGCACCATGTTTTCAAGATACATCCATATTGTAGTGTGTGCTTTGCTCCTTTTTATGGCTGCATAATATTCCATTGTATAGGTGCGCTGCATTTTTGTTATCTGGTCAGCAGTGGATACACATTTGCTTTCTGGGTATGTCTTCATTTTTAAACATATATAAAATATGAAGGGGTGCCCGGGTGTCTCAGTTGGTTAAGCGTCTGCCTTTGGCTCAGGTCATGATCCTGGGGTCCTGGGATTGAGCCCCACATTGGGCTCCTTGCTCAGCGTGGAGTCTGCTTCTCCCTCTCTCTCTGCCTCTGCCCCCCAAATTGTGCTCTCTCTCTGTCTCAAATAAATAAACAAAATCTTAAAAAAAATATGTACGTGTGTGGATGCATGTGTGGCTCTGTAACCCATCACGTGGAAGGGAACCCAAGACCCTAAGAAGGCAAAGGGCTCACCCAAGATCACCCTGGGGAGTGAATGGAGCCGAAGCAGGACGAGTGGCTGTGTGATGGGGACGTTCTGACCAGGCAGCTGCCGGAGGATCTTGGGGGAAGCCTGGCAGCCGTCACTGGGCAAACGTCAAGGGGATCAGTTTGGGCTGGTGACTCCAGCATCCCAACGTGGGTCAGTTTTCATATAGCAAGTGAATCGCTTTTCTGACAGGCCCAAGTTCTAATCCAACTTTTGTCATCGACTTGCTGTGTGACCTTGGACAAGTTACTGAACCTCTCTGTGCCTCAGTTTCTTTAACTGATAATAGTGTCCACCTCTTAGATTCGATTTGAGGATTTAAACCTAATTGGTGTACAGCTAAAAGGATAGTGCCCAGTGACTTGTGGGCACTTAATAGGTGATGGTCATCTTTATTTTCTGGTGCTCAAGAGGGCATTTGTGTCCCTAGTTCTGGGTGATGGGGCACAAGAGCTTTTCTCTCTCATCTAGTCCTCTTTAAAAGGTCTTCAGAAGTAGGGGAGGAAACTGAAAGTCACCTTCTCCCATGTAGCAGATAGGCAAACTGAGGCCTGGATCTATCCAACACAGAAAGGTGAGGGCAGAGCCCACAGTCCCAGAAGGAGGGGCAGGAGTCTGGCTGGGGGACCTTGGGCAAGTTGCCACCCTCGCCTCTGCCTGCTGGCTCTATTACATCACACCCTCCCCAGAAGTGTCCCCGAGGATGGCCAGATCGGCGTGTCCCTGGCTGCAGGAGGTGGGGTTTCTGGTTGTTTTCACAGCTCCGAGGGGAACGGGCAGCGCTCATCTGTTTGCCCACTGTGGCCGGCACAGCCAGCCCTGGAGTCTGCTGATTGGTTAAGGTCTCTGGCTCCTGGGTCCATCACACCTGGGTTGAAACTGACACCCAGGTGTGACCTCAAAGGAATCACTTAACTTCCCTTAACCTCGGTTTCTGGCCCCCAGAAATGGGGGCGAATCAGCCCAGTGCCAGGTGTGGAATAAGGGCTCAAAGAATGGTAGCTGCTATTATGATTATCTTTGGTCTTGTTATTATAATCCAGAACCTTCCCAAACTTTCTGGTCCCCTTTCCCTGAGTCTTCCCTCCTCACTCATGTTTCCTCCCCGTCAAATCTGGGTTGGTACTTCTTTGGGATTCTGCAGCCTGGCAGCCCCTGGAGTCTTTTCCCAGGGGCTCGTGAGCAGATTTAGGACAAGTCTGTACTGACCCTTTCCCTGCTGGATTCCCCACTCTTGCCTCCATCCACTCAACATCCTATGGGGCACAGGACAGCATTCCCCCGCTCTGCCCCCACCGCCAAAGGATTATCTGGCCCTGAACGTCAGTAGTGTCAAGTTTGAGAGACTCCACCTAAGGGTAATATGGAATGAGAATAATACCTTCCTCATTCTATCTTCTCTACTTCTATTAATATGACCAGGAGAAATTAATTAATTCTATTCGGGTGAAATGTGTTTTATCTAAAAAGCCTGTTGTTCTCTATCCAACTGCTACTCAATTGACCTCCAGAGAAGTTAAAAGATTTTTTTTTTCTTGGTGAAATTAACCCAATTAGATCAGGGCTATCTTGTTTTGGACCTGATGCACTTAACCTCTGTGGCTCCCACTGTAGGACTTGGCATCCAGCCCTCTTCATGTTCGTTCACCTGGCTTCAGTCCATCGTTTGATTTGATTGAGACTTTGTGACCCCTTCTTGGGTCATTCGACAGCGCTGTCTGTAGTGATGCCTCCCTGCTTTGCGTCATCCGAAAATGCGGCAAACATTCTCTTGGTGGGCCCTTATGGCTAAAACTGGCCACAGCCAAGGTCAGAACCCCATGGCCACACTGGGCCACCCCCTTGCACTTATCATCATCCATCAATCAACATGTGAGGTGGAGTTGGCTAGGTCCAGAGGGCCTGTGAGAGATTTTGTCCAAAGGTCATAGAAAAATCAAGATATTTGCAGCAGGATTAAATCTCAGACCACAAACTCCGTGTGCAACAAATGGGGACTTCCTTATTTTCCCCTAACTTGGCTTAATTTTTATTTCAAGCAGATAATTCATTGGAGGCAATGAGGGGTTTCCCTTTCTCACCAGAGACGGCAGGGACATTCAGGGGCCAAGTCCATACGGGGTGGGTGCTGAATGTTTCCATTGTCGGCCCCCCACCCCAGCTTGCCTGGGAGCCCTTCCTCATTCTCAGCCATGGGGGCCTTGTCCTATAGTCTAGGGCCCATGACAACCATTCCAGAGAATGGTTGGAAACTCAAGGTGGCTTCCCCCTGAGTTGTAGCCATTACCATAAACTCTTTCTCTTATTTTGCTATTATTTCCATTCCTGGAGGCAAAAAGCACTCCCCGGTTTGTAGGATGCCTGTCTTCCCCACTCCCAGCAGTGGAGCTCAGGACTAGACTCCTACCA